ATCCTTGAGCAGCTTAGGGCAGCTGTACCCTGTTCCAGCACCCTCCTCATGGCTGGCATAGGAACATGGCCAAGGGAGAGGCCAGACCTCCTGCATCCCACTGATTCCCCATCTCTGTAATAGCTCCTTTGTGGCCACTGGTTATTAGCATAAGTTAGAGAAGTCCTAAGGCTGCTCTAATTTACACAGATGCCAGCCCAGTGCATGGCTGACCCAGCATCAGCAGATCACAAAGGTGGTTTAAAGACCTAACCGGCCAAGTTCTTAGTATGGGGCTACTGTGTACGGATATTGCTGGTGTGCAGCATGTCGCAAACTCAGATCCTAAAGATGAACAGAACTCTCATTACCTACCAGCTTATATTTTCACTTTCACATTCCCTTCCCCTTATCCCCTTCCTAAGGATCTGTTACTTCCCCCCCCCCCAATATTTTTGTTTAATTTTAGATTGTAAACTCTTCAGGGCAGAGTCACTGTCTTTTTAAAATGTATCTGCCTAACTCTATGTATATCTGCACAACAATAACAACAGCTGCTCAACAGCTACCACCACCTAAATAGATGTTAGCTTCACTTCTGCTAGGTCGAAAGGGACTTACACTTCTCATATTCCTATCAGCACAAAACTCTGCAGTCTGGCCAGCAGGCTTATGTAACAGTGATGCATCTGGCTTTCTACCCCAAATAAGAAAGTAAGCCAGAGTATGCTGATACTCCTGCAATAAAACTGGGTCCCTGCTCATCTATGCCTTCATACCCTGTGTCTTTCATTCAGTGGGAACCACTGAAACCACAACATTCAATACTCCAAGTACCTGCAGTAACCACGGTAACATCTGATATTTACAACAGGAAAGAGAGTTGTTGCCATGTGGCAAATACTGCATTTTTATTGCTGTCAGCTGAATTTACTATAGTTTTTCTTCTGGACTGTGAAATTTTCAGGACACTGGCAATATTTTACTTTCTGTTTGTACAGTTCCCAGGACAAACTGGAGAGGGTGCAGAAATGAGCCACACAAATTATTTGAGGGCTGGAAAAATGTCATACAGTGAGAGATTTCAAGAGGTTAATCTGTTTAATTGATCAAAAAGAAGATGGAGAGGTGACTTGATTACAGTGTATAAGTACCTTCATGGGGAGAAAATACTGAGTACTGAAGGACTCTTCATTGGAGAAATGCAAAACAAGAACCAATGGCTGGAAGTTAAAGCCAGATAAATTCAAACTGGAAATAAGGCACAATTTCTTAGCAGTGAGGGTGATTTAACTATTGGAACAACCTATTAAGGGCATTAGTGGATTCTCCATCCTTGATGTCTTCAAATCATGACTAGATGCCTTTCTGAAAAACCAAATACAAGTTACTGGGCTCAATACTAGGGTAACTGGGTGAAATTTTATGACCTGTGTTATACAGGATGTCATTATGGATGATCTAGTGGCCCCATCTGGTCTTATAATCTAAGACTTTATAAACCTACAGTTCGAGAGGATTTTGATAAATTGGAGAAGGTTCAGAGAAGAGCCATGCCTTATACTGATATACTCGAAGAGCACAATCTTATGTGACAAAGTCAGACCAGACAGCTATAGGAGAGTGGTGGAACGCAGGTATATCAGTCCTAGAATAGTGAAGACCCTTTTCCCTATGAACTGCAAAAATGGTCTCTCAGATTAATTAGATACGTGAGCCCAATTAAGGACTGCTGGTGACCTTTAAAAACTCCTCTTCTGGTGAGAGAGAGGGACGAGGGATGAGAAATAAGCTGCAGCAGGGAGAAAAGGCTTCTTCTAGGTGGAAGGCTGGTCTTCTCCCCTTAGTGGAAGCAATCCAGTTTACTTCTGTTTGGGGAAGGGCTGGCAACCATAAGCCAGTGTAATAAGTTGGCTTTCTGTGGAGGGGACAAGCAAATGTATATCTTTTGTATTGTGAGTTGTTTTTGCTTAAAGGAAACACTCAGGCCTATCCTGAGGCCCACCTTGTAAACGCTGAAAAATAAACCAAAGCAAATAATTAAAAACATCCAAAGTAGGACGGATTGACTCCAGGTCCACCCCCAACCACCAGAGGGAGAAACACTGAGGGTGACGAGACGAAGGAGGTTTGCCACATTATTTAGCTTAACAAAGAGAAGGTTAAGGGGTGACTTAATCACAGTCTGTAAGTACCTATATGGGAAACGAATATTTAATAATGGGCTTGTCATACTGGTAGAGAAACTGTAGCTCTTCGGATGGCAGATCACCTAAATGTATTTAAAGACATTTTACATAGCCACATGCAAAAGCCTGCAGGATTGACTCTAGAACAGTGTTTCTCAAACTTTAGCAACCCGAGGACACCCATTTTGTTTTAAAATTTTTCACGGACCCCTAAATCCCCCACTCAGCCCCAGGCCCCGCCCCCACTCCACCCCTTCCCCCAAGGCCACACCCCTGACACATCTCTTCCCCACCTCTTTCCACACCTCCCCTGAGCATGCCCCATCTCTGCTCCTCCCCTTCTCTCCCAGTGCCTCCGGCACACCACTGAACTGCTGTTCCCCGGAGTGCAGGAGGCACTGGGAGGGTGGGGGAGGAGTTGATCAGCGGGGCCAGCGGATCCTGACATGACTCACAGACCCCCCTGGAGTACCCTTGCATACCCACAGGGGTCCACAGACCACAGTCTGAGAAACCCTGCTCTAGAATCCACCACACACTCCCTGAGCAACATTCCACCAACACAAAGGAGCAGTGAAAGCCAATGGATCTGGCCACTATGGAATTCTCACCAGTACAGCAGGAATCCCTAGGTGATGTATGGGGCTAATGCAGTGACTCTATGCCAACCCATCTGTAGCCCCTGATTGATGGGGTACAACCCAGGGAAAAGTGGGTGTGGATGGACAACCTCTGAACTCTGATTATTCCTGTCTGCCTAAGTGGCCTCTTGGGAATATGAGTAGTTAGACATAAGTTAGGGTGGTCCTGAGACTGCTGTAAATGTAGATCTCAAGTCTACCTGACCCAGGTCAGGCCACAATTAGAGAACCAAACAAAGGACCATAAAGCCACCTTTGTGCCCGCACACCTATCTTCTGAGGAGCACTGCTCAGCCAGACACAAGAATAGGGGTTCCATCTGATTAAATTTTCTCTCTCAGAAAAAAAGTTATCTATCCTTTAGGGCATAGGACCCATCCAAGTAACAAAGGAGCTGGGGTGACATGGAAAGGCTCCTTTGGCCACGAAGTCTTAGCTCCCTTCATGTTCTTTGAGGCAGGCACCCATAGCATCAACAAGAATGACTCTGTGGGCTAGCCAAGTTTTAGAATGAACAGCTTGATCATGTGACATCTGTGACCTTCAGTTAAAGAGACTGATCCTGCAAACTCTCCTCTCACTTCTCTTGAAGTGCTTTAGAAAGAGAAGTGGAGCTCTGTATTCACATGACATGTACAATTTGGCCCAAAGTACTAGAAAGTGACAGTTCTGTTGGCCATAAACTATTGCAAACAGTTTTATAACTAATCCCGGGCAAGAACAACATTTCCTAGACTCTGTTTTTATAGCTTTTCCCTGACTTGGCATATTGTAAGCGGATTGTTCCCTCCATTTCTTACGCGTTTTCAATCTGACTATTTATAAAGCAATTAACCTTTAGGAATGACCTTTACACTAACATTAAAACCTGTTTTCCCTAGGTTTTGAAAAAACACATTTTCATCTTTTGAAAAAATGAATTAAATGCCTTGAAAATGTTGTGAACATAACCAAAAAGGAGATCACCATTATAATATGAAGTGTGTTGGCTGACATACAGTATATGAAAGATGGAAGGAATACAGTCCTGAGATTCAGACAGCTGATAGTCAGAGGTGATAGTGTAAACGCTACTCAGGAAAATACGCCAGGATGAAAGAACATTGTTTTTATGCTTTCCTGACACAGTGAGTCTTTGCAGTAAACTATTCTCATTGATTCTTTTTACCAGAGTAAACAAACATAGCACACTTTATTTTTTCAAATCAAATACCTGCCCAAATTGGCTAAGAGTGAGATTCCTTGGCAGTTTCATTTATCCAGTTCTCCTAAGATGAGACTGACAAATTTGAAGCAATGACTTGGCATGGAGCTGCTTTACTGACCTTACTTTTGCTGTTTTCTTGTTTCTAGTGTGGCAAGATGGCCGATTTGGTGGTGGGTCCTGCGCTTTTCTGGGCGGGGAGCTAAGATGCCCCCCTTTGCCCCTGCTCTTGGGTGCCGAGAGCCCTGCCACTAGTCCAGGAAGGTGGCAGAGGAGGGAAGCGGGGGAGGGGTCTGGGTTTGCTCCTCGCTCTGAGTCCCAGCCCCTCTCAACCCCTGTGGGTTTCTCACCCTCGTCCCCCTTAGGTGGGGTTACCCTTGGTCCTTAGATGCTGGAGGGAAGGGAGTCTCCCTCTTCTGCTGGGCAGCGTCCCCCTTACTTCAATTCTCAGGTCTTCCAAATCTTTCAACACACCTCCAAGCTCCCATCCTTTCTCCTTCGTCCTCCTCCTCTGTCTGCCTGACGGAGGGGGTTTTATTAGGTTCCTAACAGGACCTTAATGGACTGCAGGTCCTCCAATTAACCTGCAGCCACCTTCCCTAGTCTACGGGGAACCAAGCCTGAATTAGCCTTGAGCTTACATATTTCCCCTCTAGCACTCTCCCACTGCTCCCTGGCTCTCCTGTATCACACCAGGGAAACGCACAAAGCTAAAAAAAGAAAATCTCTTTTTAACCTTTGTTTTCGCATTTAGTGTAACAGTTAACCTTGACTTTAGACATAGAAATGAATAGTAAATGTAATTCAGAATTACAATCATATTGATTTAAGATATACACTATTTTTACTGATCACTACAGCAGAAACAATTAATTGAAAGAACAAAGTATTAAGTGAATTGCAACTCCACACTGATTTCCCCATGCTGCTTTGCACTTTCAAGCTATTTCATATAAATAATCCATGCAGATACCTTGAGTGCTGTACCTTCACTGTATTTTCTTTAGTTTCTTTGGTCATCCAAAATTAATTTCTTCAAGAAGGACAATGGAGCTAAACCTTGCCTTCCATTCACCTTCAAAGAAATAGACAAACAGTCAAGCAAGCTTAGGTTTTCTCCAAAGTAAAATATATACATAAGGGCTCCAAAATGCATACTTCTGTTATACGTAATACAATGTCACAGCAAGTAATGGAAACATTTAATCAGGCTTAATGACTCAGTCAAAATATGAAATCAGACAAGGAATATAATCAACCACAGAAGAAGCAGAATTTATTAAAGAGCAATGTTGTTATTGCATGTGCACTTCGCTGACACTAAGGACTAGTTTATACCTTCGGCCCCAGCTCTGAGCAAGAGGCAGTGCATACCATTACCCACCCCAGGAATGGTTCCAGGACACACTCTGCCATTTCTTGTTCCACAGATGGGTAAGTAAGCTATAGTAGCCCTTGAAGAAGGTACAGCTCTGTTTCTGCTCACATGGCCAGCTACTCAGGCCAGAAAGTAGGAGGAGGCAGAGCCATGGATCTGTCCACTTCCTACTTCTCACTGTGCAATCTCCCCCTTTCCCCCGCTTGCTCGCAGTGGGGAGTACTTGGAGAGCCATGTCTGTGTTTCATGGCAGACCAGAGACATTATTCCCCAACACGTCTCAGCTTGGCTAGGTAGGACAAGGACATAATCGTGCTCTATTTGATTGTCTCACAACACCTCTATGAGGTTATTATGGTAAATATTATCTCTGTTTTACAGATATGGAAACTGAAACACAGAGTTGAAGTGAAATACCACACAATACAGGATAAAGGGTATGCTGAGAGATTAATTAATGCCTCTGCTCCACTCCTTGTTGCTTCAGTTTAGCATAACGTGTTGTAATAGTGCACTGGGAAGAAAACCATTTGGACTCAGCAACATGGTTAGTTTGTACATCAAGGTTAATGGCTTTGGCCAGCCACGTAGCTGTCCCCACATCTCACTTACGTATGAGCTGAAATGCGTATAAGGCGGGTTTGGAGAGGAACCGCTAGAACTCACAGAGCTGATTGGTCCAGAGAAGAGGCTAACAGGCAGATAGCAACGTACACTGGGAAGCTGGTGAGAGGCAATCATTAGGCACAAAGGATGAACTCCCTAATCTCTCTCATAAAGCTGGAGTGTATAACTCTGATGTGCGTGCAATGTAGACATATCTGACATCCCTAGATGCTTGAAAATGTTTGTGGTTAACCTATTGGGTTTCAAGGAATGACTGTCCCAGTTAATCTCTGGCAACTGTAATGGCAGGATCCAGTGAGGTACAGGGACACTAGCTGGGACAATTTAACTCACTCCAGTCCCTAGTATAAGGCTGAGAGTGACCAAAGCCAGAACCAGCAGTAAGGATTGAGACAAGATGTTGGATTTCAACTTCCAGCATAGACTGAAGCATCCATCATCAGTGCCATAATTCTGAGTATGAAGAAGAGGCAAGAGGATGTGATTTTGGTATGAAGCCAAAACCTGATGGCTGGCTGTGTGAAGAAAGGTTATGGATGGTCTCTGTCTCATGAGTGAATGACCTTTATTGCAATCTACTAAGTATGGTGTATTGCACTGGACACATTTGCTGCTGGTAACAACAGCAGTGATGTTAAATGTTAACTATTCACAGTTCATAAAGTTCGGTTAATTTAATTAATAAAATTGAGGTTACACATAATCATCTGCATGGTAGCTTACCACTTCATGTCTTGTCTCTACTCCTACACAGATGCATAAAGGGGCAAAAATCTTTCACATTCCCATTTGCTGATTTTGAGAACTACCTTATCTTTCCCCTCTTGTGGATAAGAAAAAAAGTGGTATTAATCATCAAATAATTTCCTTCTTTGACCTAAACTTATTCTTCATTTAAGATGAAATGTGACCGCACGCTGACATGAAAATCAAGGTCAGAGAACTGCATGCAGTCAATCAGCCAATGCTTTCATGCAGAGAGCAATATTTGAAAAGGAAAAACTGAAAAAACCTCTCTCTCTCTTAACCTGTATAAGTAGCAATATATGTTACATGTGCTCGATCCTGTTTCCTTCTGTTTGGAAGATACCAGAAGCATAAATTGTACCAGAGTAATGTAATCAGAAAGCTTAACATTAAGTTTCAGCATGCATCTCCTAAGAAAACCATTACAGTGTTTATATGGGGAAAATCCAACTTAAATAAAAATATAGAAAATGAAAAATGAAAATATAAATAATTAATGCAAGTGCTTTTTAAAGTTAACAGATGGCTCTTTTTAGAGACTGAAGGCCTCAGGTTAGAGATTGTGAGATTTCTTCCATACTCCTCATCAAAATATATCGCATCTCCCTTGATAGCCACTATTTCTGCAGACCATTCAAATCTTCTTTACCCCTAACAGAGTCACATTATTGTAAGCAAACAATACTGAAATATGAATCAGGGCTTGATGGGGAGAACATACTGAAAAAATAAACTTTCCATTTCATGTATGAGAACATTTTAAACATTTTTTTAAACAATTATGATTTTCTTCTCTATTTCCTCAAGTCTAATTGCAGCATTGACATACAGCAACTAGTTAAAGTGATAGGATTCCTGGCAGATGTAGAATGATGTGACAAATTGTAGTCTGGCTTATTTCTCACTTTCCTGTACATGCATTTATGATCATCAAGCTAACCAAGCACTCCAAAGTTTTAATCCCAAGACAGCTTTTAAAATTGTGGTACCAGACAGGAGAGCAAAAGGTCAGATCAATAAGCCATTTTAGCCCCAAAACTGGAAGGAAACAGCCATAACCCATTAACCCTGAACTCTGCACCCCATACCGTCTCTTGATTTAAAAAGTTGCTGAGGATTCTGGATTTCCAGTTTATGCCCAATTATCCTTGCAAATCCTTTGTCTCTTCTCAAGTTCAATGCTATGGAATTTATTAAGAATGACACCAGACAGCTTCCAGTATGCTGTCAATGCACTGAAATGCTTACATGTGTTTTGGAGAAGTTACACATTCTTTATTTGATTCAAAGTACGTGAACCATTGTCTTTTGTGGGGAGAAATGTGTGTGCCTTTAAATGAGGGACATCCCCACCTACCACCGTTAATGTGCAAATGATTTAAGCATATAGCTGCTATTTCAATTATCTAAATAGTATGAACTCTTGCATTTATGTATATCCCAATGTATGAGTGGGTGTCTCTCTCTTTTACTCTCTGTGACAGATTTTGATAGGTATTCAGCGCTTCTGAGTGTTTGCTCTACACATCTACATATGAAACAATTTTTACATAAAGGTAATGTATACAACAACTCCCACTCTGATCTATATCTATATCTACTATCTAAGAGATAGAATAAATAAGCTAGATCCTGTGAATACTTATTCATGTAACTAGACTTGATGCAAACAGTTTAATTCCAGCCTGAGTAAGGGGTTTTCAAGATCATGTCTTTTATCAACAGAGTTTATGGTCCAATCCTTCTCATATTGAAGTTAATGGGAAAATGTCTATTAACTTCAATAGGTGTCAGACTAGTTACTTTATTCATTCATTTAAAAAAGTTCATCTCCCCATGCAGTATCTGGAATGTTCCCTGGAGCTGTTTGGAAACAAAGGGAAGTGGGGAGTTCACAATTCCACTTTTTGCCAACTTCCTGATGAAACTTAGTTTCAGTGGAATTTTTTTGACCGGCTCTGAAGCTTACAGTCTTATTAAAAAATAACAAAAACTTGGATGAACAAACAAACAAACAGCCATTTCTTAAAACCAGCTAAAAAAAATAAAGACCAAAATATGGGGAAAGTACTTTCTCTCAAGAGTCTTTTATATTCAATGGGATCATGAAATCATTCCTATCAAGGCTTCAGCAAAAGTGTGTGCTTTTTTGTTAGCTGTTCAGCAGCTGTGAGGAACAATCTACGACATAGTACAAAAGTCCTTTTAGAATGTGAAAGAGAGCAGCGGTGAGGGGAACTTAGCATCCAACAGCCTCAGGCCATGTGCTCTCTACCCATTTCCCATTCTCAAGGCAGAGTTAATTTCACAGCCAAACTTTTTAGCAGGATCCTGAGCACAAACAAAACATCCTTTGTACTTGGAGGGAATGAAAGCAATACAAGCTGAATTTCTGATGCAGGGTCCTTTTCCCCCCTCCTAAATGTAAAATGCAGCCAATACAGTACTAGACACTCTCAGAGAGCTGGTTGACAGTCTCAACAAAGCAGGTAGCAAAAATGATCTGGCTTTTCAGGGTGACACACAAAGAAGAGAGCTGGGATCCTTTTAAAGAAATGAAATGGTTTCTTTGTAAAACAGAAGATGTCAAGAAGGTTCACAAGAGAGAACAATTTTAACTCTGTTTCATTTAGCTGGCTTACACGTGAGAGTTATTTCATTGTGGAGCTGCTTCACTCTGAAATTCCAAAGTACAATTCAGATGTGTCTACATTAAACTATTTTCCCATCAATGTTACAATTGGTACAGCTCCCTCAATGGAGTAACAATAATTTAAGTGCTAGATAGAAAAGGGTGCCTGCATTTTAATCACTGGTTTGTCTAACCTTGCTCAGAGCAAGGTTTTCTATAGGAGGAAACTATCTGGCCCTCTATTGGTATTGCATTTAACTTTCTGTAATTTGGTATCTTATCAGTACTCAGTGTAGCCTTTTGTGCAATAATTTAGTGGACTTACCTTTGCCTCACAAAAAACATCCTTTCTTGGTCAAATATACCCAAACAATATCTCCTTTCCAGAAGTCAGGTTCACACCTGAGGTGAATTTTAGGATCATCTTCCAAGGACATGTAATCGTAGACTGCAACAAACTAAAATAATGTATCATAACACCAGGACTCTTCAATGAATGGCACCTTTGTAATTAGTACCCTGTCCCACATGAACAGCCACACAAAGTCTTAGCTTTCAGAGCTCTCTCTGATGCAGGGGAAGACAAGGGCCTAATCCAATGATCTACCCACCCTTAACATTAATCAGGGAGTGTGTGCCTATATATATATATATATATATATATATATATATATATTATTCCTCCCTTTCT